TGGGAATGAACCTTTCCACTGCCTCCTTGCATTTTGTTGCTACATATTCCATCATTTCAATTACTGGCTTTCCTGCCAGTTCTCTGTCCCACTGGACCTCCCGTAGGAAGTTCTTCAACCCTATGTAGTCCCCTCTTTTATAGTCAGGCTTTTCCCATTCTACTCCTGTTATTCTCTCCACTTGCAGCTCTACTATGTATTCAAAGCACAGAACCACGTGGTCGCTAGCTCCTAGGGGACTCTCATACTTGATGTCCTCAATGTCTGAGCTGCCCAGGGTGTGTGTGTGTGTGTGTGTGTGTGTGCATGTGTGTGTGTGCATGTGTGTGTGTGTGTGCGCGTGTGTGTGTGTGCGTGTGTGTGTGTGCGTGTGTGTGTGTCGTGTGTGTGTGTGTGTGTGTGTGTGTGTGTGTGTGTGTGTGTGTGTGTGTGTGTGTGTTGTGTGTGTGTGTGTGTGTGTTGTGTGTGTGTGTGTGTCTGTGTGTGTGTCTGTGTGTGTGTCTGTGTGTGTGTCTGTGTGTGTGTCTGTGTGTGTGTCTGTGTGTGTGTCTGTGTGTCTGTGTGTGTCTGTGTGTGTACTCACCTAGTTGTACTCACCTAGTTGATGTTGCAGGGGTCGAGTCCAAGCTCCTGGCCCTGCCTTCACTGGTCGCTACTAGGTCACTCTCCCTGAACCATGAGCTTTATTCGTACCTCTGCTTAAAGCTATGTATGGATCCTGCCTCCACTACATCACTTCCCAAACTATTCCACTTCCTGACTACTCTGTGGCTGAAGAAATACTTCCTAACATCCCTTTGATTCATCTGTGTCTTCAGCTTCCAACTGTGTCCCCGTGTTGCTGTGTCCAGTCTCTGGAACATCCTGTCTTTGTCCACCTTGTCAATTCCTCTCAGTATTTTGTAAGTCGTTATCATGTCCCCCCTATCTGTGTGTGTGTGTGTGTGTGTGTCTGTGTGTCTGTGTGTGTGTGTCTGTGTGTCTGTGTGTGTGTGTCTGTGTGTGTGTGTCTGTGTGTGTGTGTGTCTGTGTGTGTCTGTGTCTGTGTCTGTGTGTCTGTGTCTGTGTGTCTGTCTGTCTGTGTGTGTGTCTGTGTCTGTCTGTGTCTGTGTGTACTCGCCTAATTGTGGTTGCAGGGGCCGAGACTCAGTTCTTGGCCCCTCCTCTTCACTGATCACTACTAGGTCCTCTCTCTCTCTGCTCCCTGAGCTGTCATACCTTGTCTTAAGCGCATGAATGGTTCCTGCCTCCACTACATCACTTGCTAGGCTATTCCACTTCCTGATGACTCTGTGACTGAAGAAATACTTCCTAACGTCCTTGTGACTCGTCTGAGTCTTCAGCTTCCAGTTGTGACCCCTTGTCCCTGTGTCCCCTCTCTGGAACATCTTATCTCTGTCCACCTTGTCTATTCCCCGCAGTATCTTGTATGTCGTTATCATGTTTCCCCCTGACCCTTCTGTCCTCCAGTGTCGTCAGTCCGATCTCCTTCAACCTTTCCTCGTACAACATTCCCCTGAGCTCTGGGACTAGCCTTGTTGCAAACCTTTGTACTTTCTCTAACTTCTTGACGTGCTTGACCAGGTGTGGGTTCCAGACTGGTGCTGCATACTCCAGTATGGGCCTAACGTACACAGTGTACAGTGTCTTGAACGATTCCTTATTAAGGTATCGGAACGCTATTCTCAGGTTTGCCAGGTGCCCGTATGCTGCAGCAGTTATTTGGTTGATGTGTGCCTCCGGTGATGTGCTCGGTGTTATGGTCACCCCAAGGTCTTTCTCCCTGAGTGAGGTCTGTAGTCTTTGTCCACCTAGCCTATACTCTGTCTGCGGTCTTCTTTGCCCCTCCCCAATCTTCATGACTTTGCATTTGGCTGGATTGAATTCGAGAAGCCAGTTACTGGACCACATGTCCAGCCTGTCCAGGTCTCTTTGCAGTCCTGCCTCATCCTCATCCGATTTAATTCTTCTCATCATCTGCGAATAGGGACACTTCAGAGTCTATTCCTTCCATCATGTCATTCACATATATCAAAAATAGCACTGGTCCTAGAACTGACCCCTGTGGGACCCCGCTCGTCACAGGCGCCCACTGTGATACCTCTTCACGTACCATGACTCGTTGATGCCTCCCTGTCAGGTATTCCCTGATTCATTGCAGTGCCCTCCCTGTTACATGCGCCTGATCCTCCAGCTTCTGCACTAGTCTCTTGTGGGGAACTGTGTCAAAGGCCTTCCTGCAGTCTAGGATAACGCAATCTACCCACCCCTCTCTCTCGTGTCTTACTTCTGTTACCTTCTCATAAAACTCCAGGAGGTTTGTGATACAAGATTTGCTTTCCATGAACCCATGCTGGTTTTCATTTATAATCTTGTTCCTTTCCAGGTGTTCGACCACTCTCCTCCTGATAATCTTCTCCATGACTTTGCACACAATACATGTCAGAGACACAGGTCTGTAGTTTAGCGCCTCCTTTCTGTTTCCTTTCTTAAATATGGGGACTACATTAGCTGTCTTCCATTTCTCAGGTAGTTGCCCAGTTTCAAGGGATGTGTTGAAGATTGTGGTTAGAGGCACGCACAGCATCTCTGCTCCTTCTCTAAGGACCCATGGGGAGATGTTGTCCGGTCCCATCGCCTTTGAGGTGTCAAGGTCACTTAGGAGCTTCTTCACCTCCTCCTCAGTTGTTCGTATGTCATCCAACACTTGTTGGTATATTCCCTCTTGATGTTCCCTTCTGTGCTGTCTTCCCACAGCCCTTCCTGTCTCTACTGTAAAAACTTCCTTAAATCTCCTGTTCAGCTCCTCACATACCTCCTGATCATTTCTTGTGAGTTCTCCACCTTCTGTCCTTAATCTGATCACCTGGTCTTTGACTGTTGTCTTCCTCCTGATGTGGCTATACAACAGTTTGGGGTCAGTCTTGATTCTCGATGCTATGCCATTTTCATACTGTCGCTGGGCCTCCCTCCTTACCTGTGCATACTCATTCCTGGCTCTGCGACTGATCTCCCTATTTTCGTGTGTTCTCTGCATTCTGTACTTTTTCCATTCTCTATTGCACTTTGTTTTTGCCTCCTTACACCGTCGGGTAAACCAGGGGCTCGTTCTGGTCTTCCCATTGTTACTGTTGCCCTTGGGAATAAACCTTTCCACTGCCTCCTTGCATTTTGTTGTTACATATTCCATCATTTCATTTACTGGCTTTCCTGCCAGTTCTCTGTCCCACTGGACCTCCCGCAGGAAATTCTTCAACCCTATGTAGTCCCCTCTTTTATAGTCAGGCTTTTCCCATTCAACTCCTGTTATTCTCTCCACTTGCAGCTCTATTAAGTATTCAAAGTACAGAACCACGTGGTCGCTAGCTCCTAGGGGACTCTCATACTTGATGTCTTCAATGTCTGAGCTGCCCAGGGTGAACACAAGGTCCAATCTTGCTGGTTCATCCTCCCCTCTCACTCTGGTAGTGTCCTTAACATGTTGGTGCATGAGGTTTTCCAGCACCACGTCCAACATCTTGGCTCTCCATGTTTCGGGACCCCCATGTGGCTCCAGGTTTTCCCAGTCAATCTCCCTGTGGTTGAAATCCCCCATAACCAGCAACTTTGCTCTGCTGGAGTGAGCTCTTCTTGCCACCTCAGCAAGTGTGTCCACCATTGCTCTGTTGCTCTCTTCATATTCCTCTCTTGGCCTCCTGCAGTTCTGTGGTGGATTATACATCACTGCAATGACCACTTTGTGTTCCCCAAACTGAAATGTACCTACTATGTAGTCTCTTTCTCCCGTCTCATCTATGCCTTCCATTTTCTCGAATTTCCATCTGTTTTTTACGAGCAGAGCAACCCCACCTCCCCCCCTGCCCCTTCTATCTTTCCTCATGATCTGGTATCCTGGTGGGAAGATTGCATCTGTTATTGTCTCTGTGAGTTTTGTTTCTGTAACTGCTATGATGTCTGGGGACTTCTCATTGATTCTTTCTTGCCATTCCTCATGTTTATTCGTTAATCCATGTGTGTGTGTGTGTTATGTGTGTGTATGTGTGTGTATGTGTTTGTATGTGTGTGTATGTGTGTGTGTGTGTATGTGTGTGTGTGTGTATGTGTGTGTGTGTATATGTGTGTGTGTATACGTATGTGTATACATGTGTGTATACGTGTGTGTACATGTGCATGCACATACATGCATATGTGCATGTGTGTGTACATGTGTATATGCGTATGTATGTCTACATGTGTAATATATATATATATATATATATACACACAGTGGTACCTCGGGATACGAACATCTCAAAACTCGAACAATTATGTAAAGGACCCCAATGGAAATAAGTCACTCTGTCTGACTTTTTAAGGTTATCCTAGGTTCTCTATACATATGCTGCTATGTATGATAATCTATGTAACTGTATTTGTGTATACCTAAATAAACTTACTTATTATGTAAGTGCTTTTGTAAGTGTATTTTTGAGGGTCTGAAACGGATTAATCTGATTTACATTATTCCTTATGGGAACAAATTCGTCTGGTATCAGCACTTGAACAGCCTTCTGAAATGAAAAAAAAATTTTATCTCGAGGTACCACTGTGTGTGTGTGTGTATACATATACATATATATATATATATACATATATATACACTCCACGGGGAAGTGGAATAGAATTCTTCCTCTGTAAGCTATGCGTGATGTAAGAGGCGACTAAAATGCCAGGAGCAAGGGGCTAGTAACCCCTTCTGTATAAATTACTAAATTTAAAAAGAGAAACTTTTGTTTTTCTTTTTGGGCCACCCCACCTCGGTGGGATACGGCCGGTGTGTTGAAAGAAAGAAAGAAAGAAAGAAAGATATACATGTGTGTGTGTATATATATATATATATATTATATATAATATATATATATATATATATATATATATATATATATATATATATATATATATATATTTAATATATATATATTGTATGTATGTACATATTTATTAAAGATAATATAGTACTATTATGCTTAAATAGTGATGTTAATCACCTTACTTGCCTGCATTAACTTTTTTAGTTAAAGCTAAAGCTCTAAAACTGTATATTTTTAATTATTCCCAATTACCATATACAGTACTAGTTATATATCTTGAAAAATAATATCAAAAGTATTGTTAAAAAAGCTTATGCTTAAGAATAGGAGTGTACATTCATATTCTTTGTCATTATTCTCATTAATTCAATTGTGACATTTCACAAATCTGCAGTTTTTAGCACTGCTTCTACAACTTTGATGTCAGTTCATTGTAACAAGCATCACAAACCCTGACAGACTTCTTATTAGCATCTAGTGGTGCTTGCTTATTTGAACAGTCATTACAAAATATCTGTCCACAATTACGGCAGTGATGACGTCTTATAGTCATGGAGAAGGTCTTGCTGCAGGTTAAACAGTTAAGCACCTCCGAGTCATCTGCCCACTTGCGCCCAGCTAATTTTGTTGCCTCCATCTGGATTTAAATGGATAAGTATAAGTTTATAATATTCAACATTTAGAATATATACTAGATACTTACACACATCTACTCCTTGTGCATTATAATTATCTAAGAGAAATACAACGGAACAAGTTCAATGTACTCTAGAGACTGTGATTAATCGATTTAAAAAGACACATAAGAAAACACTAAAACATTTATTAGAACATGTTTTGGTCCTGGGACCTTGATCACTTGTAACATACTGTTATAGGGGTTATAGGACCGACTAATAGAACCCTAGCTGTACTTGGGTAAATACTTATGTAGCAGGAAATGTAACACAGTAAACCGTCGATTAACATGGAAGTTATGTTCCTGACAACTCAGTGCAAGACAAAATTGAGTTAAACAAACTGAAGAACTTGTGGGAAAATAGGGTTTCATTCCTTGGACCCCCAAAATGGCAAACAAACTTTTTTAGGTCTCCAAATCATAAAAAAAATCAAAGTGATAATGTAACTGTAGTTCACTGTCATGATATACAGTCACATAATGACATATTTTATTCATTCTAGAGTATATATCAGGTTTCTATATTATTTATATTGTTTATTATGTCATATTAGATCAATTGTGATAGATAAATGAGCCATACAGTTGATATTAGCATTATGTTGAAGTGTATTTTTCCTGCCTCTGAGAGCAGGAATTCCGCCAGAATGGATTAATGGCTTTTCAATTAATTTAAATGGGGAAAATTGATTCAGCATACGAACAAATCAGGATACAAATGAGGTCATGGAATGGATTAAGTTTGTAAGCCAAGGTTCCACTGTATATGACCACCCCTCTGGGTTTTCTTTTATTTTCTTGTTGGTTCTTGTTCTTGTTTATTTCCTCTTATCTCCATGGGGAAGTGGTACAGAATTCTTCCTCCATAAGCCATACATGACGTAAGAGGCGACTAAAATGTTGGAAGCAAGGGGCTAGTAACCCCTTCTCCTGTATACATGACTAAATTTAAAAGGAGAAACTTTCGTTTTTCTTTTTAGGTCACCCCGCCTCAGTGGGACACGGCTAGTTTGTTGAAAGAAGAAGAATTACAACTTAATTGTGATTCTAACCAAAAAGCCCATAATATGCATTGCATTTCAGGTAGAAGTAAAAATAAGTGTGTGAAGGAACAACTGTGTACTGTGTGCTGGAGGCTTGATCCTCCAGCAACTGGGTGCGAGACAGCTGTGCAACGTAACTGTACTTAACTAGTTACCAAAAAAAAAAAAAAAAGAAAAGTTGTAGTAATAATACAATACCATTAATAACAGTAAAAGTATTATAGGTAGAATAGTATTTTAAGCAGAGCCATAATTAAACTAATACAAGATAAGCTATAGTACTGTTACTACATTATTATTACTCAATGGGGAAACCCTAAATTCTTAGCAATCATATATAATGTAGAGAAAGTTAAAGTAAAATGAAAAAGCTGAATTTATTTTAAGAAACTCGAGTGTTTCCATAAAAGCTGACAGAAAATAACATTGTGTGTGGCATATAATTTGACACAGTTTGAAAAAACATGTAGCATATATGGGCACAAGTAATGTTACTTGACTTATCAATTCTTTAATATCTTTGTGTACATAAACTGATACATATGCAAACCTCTGATATATATCACACATACTTTTCTATAAATCAAGAGACTTAATATTAAAGTTCAATTTTTTTTATAAAGATGATAGTGCATATCCTGCCCAGGGAGGTACTACTGTCCTGCCATTGAGTGTAAAACAGAAACCTGTAATTGTTTTACATGATGGTAGGATTGTTGGTGTCTTTTTTCTGTCTCATAAACATGCAAGATTTCAGGTACGTCTTGCTACTTTTACTTACACTTAGGTCACACTACACATACATGTACAAGCATATATATACTATTTTCTTTCTAGTTCTTGTTTATATCCTCTTATCTCCATGGGGAAGTGGAACAGAATTCGTCCTCCGTAAGCCATGCGTGTTGTAAGAGGAGACTAAAATGCCGGGAGCAAGGGCCTAGTAACCCCTTCTCCTGTATATATTACTAAATGTAAAAGGAGAAACTTTCGTTTTTCTTTTTGGGCCACCCTGCCTCGGTGGGATACGGCCGGTGTGTTGAAAGAAAGAAAGAATATATATACACACACACCCCACTGGGTTTCTTCTATTTCCTTACTTGTTCTTGATATTTCCTCAATGGGGAAGTGAAACAGAAGTCTTCCTCTGTGAGCCATGCATGTCATAAGACATGACTAAAATGATGGGAGCAAGGGGCTAGTAACCTCCTCTCCTGTATACAGTACTAAATGTAAAGGGAGAAACTTGTTTTTTCCCTTGGGCCACCCTGCCTCATCGGAATATGGCTGGTTTGTTGAAAGAAGAAGTGCATATTCTAGGTAGTAGGTTGGCAGACAGCAGCCTCCCAGGAAGGTACTACCACCCAGCCAAGAGAGTGTGACACAAAAACCTGTAATTGTTTTACGTGATGGTAGAATTGCTGGTGTATTTGACTGCTGGTGTATTTTTTCTGTCTCATAAACATGCAAGAATTCAGGTACATCTTGCTACTTCTACTTACACTTAGGGCACACTACACATACATGTACAAGCATATATATACACACCCCACTCGGTTTTCTTCTATTTTCTTACTAGTTCTTGTTTATTTCCTCTTATCTCTATGGGGAAGTAGAATAGAATTCTTCCTCCATAAGCCATGCATGTCATAAGAGGCGACTAAAATGTCGGGAGCAAGGGGCTAGTAAACCCTACTCCTATTTACATTACTAAATTTAAAAAGAGAAACTTTTGTTTTTCTTCTTGGGCCACCCTGCCTTGGTAGGATATGGCCAGTTTGTTGAAAGAAGAAGAAAAAGTGCATATATGTAAATGCTGTACATTATGTTGAAGCATTACTCCTTGATATTGTTCAGAAGCTAATAAACAAGTACAGTGGACCCCCGGTTAACGATATTTTTTCACTCCAGAAGTATGTTCAGGTGCCAGTACTGACCGAATTTGTTCCCATAAGGAATATTGTGAAGTAGATTAGTCCATTTCAGACCCCCAAACATACACGTACAAACGCACTTACATAAATACACTTACATAATTGGTCGCATTCGGAGGTGATCGTTATGCGGGGGTCCACTGTATATAGGAGATTACATTCCATGGGGAAGTGGAACAGAATTCTTCCTTCATAAGCCATTAAGCCATGCATTTCATAACAGGCAACTAAAATGCCAGAAGCAAGGGGCTAGTAACCCCTTCTCTTGTATACATTACTAATTTTAAAAAGAGAAACTTTCGTTTTTCTTTGTGGGTTACCCTGCCTCGGTGAGATATGGCTGGTTTGTTGAAGAAAAAAAAATAGGCGATTACAACCAGGTAGCTCTTCTGTCTCCATATTAACTGATCAAATATCTACCATGTCTTGTGCTAAATAGCCCACATGTACTTAGTGCTTCACAAATTAAAATAGTAAACAATTTTGTAACTGATCGCCATCCAACAGCTCTTAGTTCAATCACGTAAGCTATTCCAGATACATATAAATAAAGACCTGAAGATTCAGAGGTGACAATACAAATACAAAATTCAAAAATATTACTACTGTATACAGTAGTAATATTTTTGAATTTTGTATTTTGTATTTTAATACTGTCCAATGTAAAATATGACAATGGTTTTAAATTTTACGGCAAAAGATTTTAGTTAACCATAACACTTAATTGACTGGTACACACAAAGAATAAATTACATGTACCATAATAATGAGCTGAGGGTAACAGTATCATATTGTACTGTACAGAATATATTTAAAACTAGGTTGCATAAAAACTAGTCTTTAAATCTCCAACTTACAATGCTTATACTACCTTAAACCACTCAGTAAGCAAACATCCTCATCTGTGATGGACATAATGGCAGGAACCCTAAAGTCCAAAAAAAAGTTACATTTTAACCCAAAAGCAGGGTCAGAGGGTAGCTGTTCCTATCAAGCACTGTATGGGGCAGGATTTTTTTTTTTATACTGCACTCACCTACCACACAGACCCATTCTCTGATGTATAGGCCAAATTTCGTGCACTTATTAAATATGAAGGCAATATGAATTATGCATAGCTCTATGTGAGCGACGCTGATCTCCAACACAGATCTGCATGACCAACAGTGAAAGGGTTAAAGAGAGAAAGAGAAGAGGGTAGGTAAGGGCACCCTTTTAACTAAAAACATACCTGTAAATTCTGGTTCTCTCTTCCAAGTTCATGAAGAGCAGCAGTTGAGTCATCCAGTTTGCGCCTAAGTTGTGTCAACTGGCTCTGCAGCCGGTCTACTTCTGACTCTGCTGCAACACATCGTTCCACCAGGCTTCGTTGCTCTTCACTAGCTGCCTCCACACGCACCTATCATAATTAATAATTAACCCCTACAGAATTCTTAAAATTAAAATATGACAATCTGAATGTAAGATAAACAATAATCTAAACAAATATAATTACAGTAATCTTGCATAATTTAAACATGAAACCAACTACTACTGCCATGTTAATGTGAGGAATTCATAAGTTTATAAAACCTATTTTATTTCCAGTCTTAAAATTTAACACATACATTGAAGAGTTAAGTCATAGAAAGGAGATCTAGAAATGCTATTCAGCTGTTGGTCATTCATTTAAGATTAAAAAATAGCTTAAGCCTCCTGGGTCAATTTTCTAAACTTTTTTTTTTTTTAACCTGCCGGCCATTTCCCACCAAGGCAGGGTGACCTAAAAAGAAAGAAAAAACTTTCATCATCATCATTCAACACTCACCATCATTCATACATAATCACTGTCTTTGCAGAGGGGCTCAGATATGACAGTTTAGATGTCCCTCCAAACTTCCAATATCCTAAACCCCTCCTTCAAAGTGCAAACATTGTACTTCCCATTTCTAGGACTCAAGTCTGACTAAGCAGTGTCTCTAAATCCTTTCATAAAATATTACCCTGCTCACACTCCAACAGCTCGTCAGGTCCCAAAAACCGTTCATCTCCATTCACTTTTATCTAACACGCTCACACACACTTGCTGGAAGTCCAAGCCCCTCATCCACAAAACTTCCTTTACCCCTCCCTCCAACCTTTTTGGGGATGACCCCTACCCCGCCTTCCTTTCCCTATAGATTTATACACTCTCCAAGTCATTTTACTTTGTTCCATTCTCTCTAAATGACCAAACCATCTCAACAACCCCTCTTCAACCCTCTGACTAGTACTTTTAATAACTCCACACCTCCTCCTAATTTCAACACTACGAATTCTCTGCATAATATTTACACCACACGTCGCCCTTAGACACGACATCTCCACTGCCTCCAGTTGCCTCCTCGCTGCAGCACATACAGCCCAAGCTTCACACCCATATAAGAGTGTTGGTACCGTTATACTCTTGTATATTCCCTCTTTGCCTCCATGGATAACATTCTTTGTCTCCACAGATACCTCAATGCACCACCCAATTTTTTCCTTCATCAATTCTATGGTTTACCTCATCCTTCATAAACCCGTCCGCTGACAAGTCAACTCCCAAATATATGAAAACATTCACTTCTTCCATACTCCTTCCCTCCAATGTGATATCCAATTTTTCTTTATCTACATCATTTGATACCCTCATCTACTCCAGCACTGTATCCCCTCCCCCCCTGCTTTTAACATTTCTGTCATGATCCTGTCAGCTTCAGCTGTTTTACCCCTTTTATTCTACGTAATGCCTCACTCACCTCCCCCACACTCATATCCTGCTCTTCTTCACTTCTAAAAGATGTTATACCTCCCTGGCCAGTGCATAAAATTACTGCCTCCCTTTCTTCATCGACAGTTAACCCTTCGACTGTTTCGGCCGATATATATATATATATGTCTTACAAGCCAGTGGTCAGTCGTCACGTGAGGTCACAGGCCCTGAGCTGCTTTGAGGATTAGTGTAGACAGTTGCAAAGCATGGCTTGCTTTTGCAGTGTTTTAAAAATTGAGGTTGGAGAGTTGAAGGAGGAAGAATTGCTTCTCCAGGAGGAAATTAGGAGGCTGAAGGTTCACCTCAATGGGTTTTGGTGGCTGGAACGGTGGAGGGGAATGAGGCTACCAACAGTGAGGTGCAGTCTGTCTCTCGCTGCGAGGAAGCTGTAGGTGGGGAGGTAGCAACAACTACCAGCAGTGAGGTGTGCAGTCCAGCACCTGCTACAGGTGGCAAGTGGTTCCCAGTAATGGGAAGAGCATCAAAATAAGGAAAGTTAAGAAAGAAGATTTGAAGGTAGGAAATCACTTCTCTGTTCTTCAAGATGAGTGTACGTCAGTTGCCAGTGAAGGTAAAGGTACTACTTCCCCTGCAAATAGAGATAACTGCATCCTTGTGGTTGGTGACTCACAGGTAAGATATATGGACTGTGCTTTCTGTAATAGGAATAAGAAGGTAAGAGATAGAGTGTGCTTCCCTAGAGCTGGTGTTAGTGACATAGTCAACAGGTTGGATAATATCATGTCAGGTAATGGGAACAAGCCTATTATCTGTCTCAGTGCTGGTGGAAATGATACTGGGAAGGGTAGGAGAGAAGACAAGCTAGATAAGTACAGGTCAGCTATAGATTTAATTAAGTCTAAGAGAGGGGTCTCAATCCTATGTAGCATCTTGGTTGTCTAGGGCAATTGGTGTAAATTGCTGGCTAGACAGATACTGCAAGGAACTTGCAATCCCATTCATTGACAACTGGAACAGCTTTTATGGCAAACATATGTATGCAAAGGATGGGGTACATCTCTCTGGGGCAGGGGTGGTGGCACTTGCAAACTCAATCAAGAGGGCCATTGCTGAAATGCCTAGGATTTTAAACTGATAGAAGATAGAGGTATGGGTGTGTGTGGGAAACAGTCAGGTTGCAACACCAGGGTTGAAAACAGTAAATGTATAAAAGACATTCATCATGAAGTTATAAATAAAGACAATAGATCAGGTGAGCAAACAAAGGGAGACAGCAGAGGGCAGCAAGGGACTAACTCCCTTAAGGTCTACTATACTAATAGCAAGAGTGTAAGAAATAAGATAGATGAGCTAAGATTAATTGCGAGTGCAGGTAACATAGATATCACTGCTATAACAGAGACCTGGCTCAATCTGAAAGATAGCGAGATGCCTTCTGAATGTCACATACAAGGCTATAAATTATTCCACAGTGACAGGGTCAACAGGAAGGGTGGTAGAGTAGTGATGTACGTCAGAGACAATTTCAACTGTTGTGTTAGACAAAATATAAAATTAGAAGTGTCAGCCACTGAATCTGTTTGGTTACAGCTTCTCGAGGGCCGCGAAAAACTAATTTTGGGTGTGATTTACAGGGCCCCAAATCTTGATAGGGAGTGCGGTAAACTTCCAAGGGATGAAATTCATAAGGCATCTACATGCGAAAATGTTGTGATAATGGGAGATTTCAATTACAGAAAGACTGACTGGAGCACTTTGACAAGAAATTTAGAGTCAAGTGACTTTCTTGATATGATTCAGGATTGTTTTTTAAAACAGTTTGTGACAGAACCAACTAGAGGAAATAACCTGCTTGACTTGGTTCTTGCAAGCAGGGAAACGCTAATTAATAATCTTGAGGTTATTAATGATGAGCTTGGGGAAAGTGATTACAAATCACTCAGTTTTAATATATCATGGAATTCCCCTAATAATGGCAATCAAGTCTCTATCCCTGACTTCCGCTTGGCTGATTTCATAGGACTGAAAAATTACTTGGGTGGGCTGACCTGGAATGACCTGACTATGGGTCAGGTAGGTGGTGATGATTGGCGATTAGACGTTTTCCAGGGCATAGTTCTAGCTGCTCAGACAACTTATGTTCCAAATAGGGAAATCATATCAAACAAAAATGATCCTAAATGGATGAACAACAGATTAAAATATCTCACTGGTCAAAAGAGAGGCATATACAGGCAAATCAAAAGAGGAGAGGGGCAATTAAGAAAGCAATATATTCAGTTAAAGAAAGAAATAAAAAAAGGAATAAGAAAAGCAAAGAGATTATGAGGTTAAAGTTGCAAGAGAATCGAAGACTAACCCAAAAGGATTCTTTCAGGTATACAGAAGTAAGATCAGAGACAAGATAGGCCCACTCAAAAGTTACTCGGGTCAGCTCACGGACAGTGATAAGGAAATGTGAAGAATTTTTAACTCATACTTCCTCTCAGTTTTTACACAGGAAGATACCAGCGATATTCCAGAAATAATAAATTATGTAGAACAGGATGATAATAAACTCTGCACGATTAGGGCCACAAGTGACATGGTCCTTAGGCAAACAGATAAATTAAAACCTAACAAATCCCCAGGCCCTGATGAACTGTACGCAAGGGTTCTAAAGGAATGTAAAGTGGAGCTTAGCAAACCTTTGGCTAATCTTTTCAACATATCACTACAGACAGGCATGGTGCCAGATAACTGGAAAGTGGCAAATGTGATACCTATTTTCAAAGCAGGTGACAGGTCCCTAGCTTTGAACTATAGACCAATAAGCTTAACCTCCACAGTGGGAAAATTTATGGAATCAATAATTGCCGAGGCAGTTCGTAGCCACCTTGAAAAGCATACATTAATCAACGAATCTCAGCATGGTTTTATAAAGGGGCATTCTTGCCTTACGAATTTATTTACTTTTTTCACTAAGGTGTTTGAGGTGGTAGGTCATGGTAATGAATATGATATTGTGTATATGGACTTCAGTAAGGCTTTTGACAGGGTCCCACATCAGAGACTATCGAGGAAAATAAAGGCACATGGAATAGGAGGAGAAATTTTTTCCTGGATAGAGGCATGGTTGACAAATAGGCAGCAGACAGTTTGCATAAATGGGGAGAAATCAGAGTGGGGAAGCATCACGAGTGGTGTCCCACCGGGGTCAGTGTTAGCCCCCCTGTTGTTCACAATCTACATAAACGACATTGATGAGGGCATAAAGAGTGACATAAGCAAGTTTGCCGATGACACCAAAATAAGCCGTTGAATTCATTCTGACGAGGACATTAGAGCACTCCAGGAAGATCTGAATAGACTGATGCAGTGGTTGGAGAAGTGGCAGATGCAGTTTAATATAGACAAATGCAAAGTTCTAAATGTTGGACAGGAAAATAACCATGCCACATATAAACTAAATAATGTAGAACTTAATATTATGGATTGCGGAAAAGATTTAGGAGTTCTGGTTAGCAGTAATCTGAAACTAAGACAACAGTGCATAAGTTTTCGCAATAAAGCTAACAGAATCCTTGGCTTCATATCAAGAAGCATAAGTAATAGGAGTCCTCAGGTTGTTCTTCAACTCTATATATCCTTGGTTAGGCCTCATTTAGATTACGCTGCACAGTTTT